CGGGGCAGAGGTGGGTGCTGATGGCTCCAGCCCGGTGAGGAGGTGACTTCTCTTCCCGTACCCCACCACAGCACAAAGGGCTGTTTGTTGGTGGCAATTAGCAAATACCTCCGTGTGTGCCTTTTTCTGCCTGCATCTCCACAGGGCATGGATTTCCTGTTATCATAACATCGTGCCTGTGATTACAGCTGTACATGCCCTGTATAAACACAGCTTGCATTAACAGCATCCTCAGCCAGGGAAAGGCAGTGCAAAGGTCCTGGTATGGTCCCTGCCAGGGGCAGGAGGAGCAGGGCTTGGCCGGGGGTCCGACCCTTTGCGCTGTGCCTTGTCAAGTGCTCCAGCACCCTGTCCTAAGCACAGCACCCTGCATTTTGGCAGGTTACGCTGGTCAGGGTGCCCCAGAGGAGTGAGAGTGGCTTCCCTGGCAGGAATTGGGGGCAGAGTACCTACTGCAGGGAGGGGGTCCATGTATATTCCACTCTCCCTGGACCTCCACCTGCCTGCAGCCCTGCCTGTTAGCGGCGTGTTTAGGGGTGGGGGAATGTGGGCAGCATGTGTTGGGGTGGGGGGCAGAATGCTGGTGATTCTCTCCGGCCCCACATGGTCTGCTTGGCTTTCTGCGGTCCTTCGAGGGGGCATGGCGACGCCAGGGCTGAGCAGGGCTGCGGGGAGCTGACGGAGGCAGCTCGTCCTCCCTTCCGGATCGATGTGGGATCCGGAGGGACCGGTGTCGTGTTGCTGGCATCTTCTCCTGCTGCTGGACTGCAGATGGGAGGTTTTAAATGGGGATGGGAAGGAAGGAGCGTGTGGGAGAAGGGTTCGGAAAGCCACAGAGACAGTGTTACACCTCCAGTTCCTGATTTATCTAGAGGGACTGGCAGTTGTTTTTTACTGGCAGATTTGTTTTTTCCTTTCCTTCCTTCTTTCAGTTTTTCTCTGACCTTTGCACCTTCAGAGCCACTTGCAAGCACTGGTCTAGGGTGGGTGCCTGGCTGGAGTGCGAGCGGTGTGCTACAAGGTCAAGGCTGAGGCCAGGACCTGGAGCCCAGGTCTGGCTTGAGTATCCTCTTCTCCTGCAGGGCTTTCCCCAGCTTGTTTTTTTCTGTTTTGTAAACTCCGTGCCCCAAAGGGCTGCTCTGGCTCTCTGCCCTTGCAGGGCATGAAGACGTGGAGCAGGATCTCCATGGGGGATGAAGAGGTGGGTCTCGATCCTGTCCCAGCACCAGACTGTGGGCAGGTTTGGTAGGCTCGTCCTGCTTGGAGCCCCTGCAGCCCCTGGGGCGCAGAGCGGCTCTGATGGCAGCGTGGGAGCTCTAATAGCAGCATGGGATTGCTTTGCAGGCTCTAAGCCCTGTGCTGCAGGTCCCCACAAGGGCTGAGGGACGCTGGGGCTGTCCCCTGCTGTGACCTTGGGGTGGGCA